AGCAGCCAATGAAATGAACAAGTTATTCCCAGAGATAAGCATGATGTAAAAATACCTCAAAGCTGAGTCACTTGGAGTGATGAGAGACCAAGAGAACGTTGAATGACACTTAATCTTGCATAGTCCAAATATTACATTGGGCAAAAGGCAGACAACATCTAGCAAAGAGTCCAATTTATTGCCACCAAAAAACACACACCTTAGAATCACCTTTACATAGACTGCAGGGCTTCACGTCCTAATCAGACTGAATGTGAATCAGGTGTCACTCCCACCACTCACTCAGGGGAAGACCTTCTCAGACTTCTCCCTTAAAGGGGCACTCCCCCCGCTCGTGCTCTCAAACACCAAGACAGAATGCGCAGACCTTGAAAGTTCTGCCTCGGGCCCCACTGGGCAAGTGTACATTCCCCCCTGTTTCTCATCATACTGTAAAACTCTTTCAGACATTTAACTCTGTGAAGGCGCTGTACAAGTTGTTGCTTTCGCTGATGCCTCTGTTTACCTAGCAGGAAGTAGCAACCCAGGTGTTAGTTGTTTAGTGGATTGCTTTTCCGGGGGTAATAATTCCTTCACAAAAAATAATAATAATAAATTGGTCACTTCAATCCGCGACTTGTTTGTGGGACACTGCTGTGCGCAATTGGCTGCCGTGTTTCACCCACAAAATATATACAGTCAATTCACTTTACAGTATATTCGGTGAAGCGCTTTGAGACGTCTCAAAGACATGATAAGGTGTTATATCAAATGCAAGGATTATTACATCAACAGCAAGTAAAACAACACTAACAAAATTACATTTGTGTAAGGCCTTTCACATCGGGAGGCGCTGCACAATCAGTGTTTCGGACCCGAACTGGGAGTCAGGATTGGGGACGGTGTAGGGCAGGAGGGAAGGAGGGTGACTGAAGACACAAACGAAAAGGAGTGTCTTGAGATAGGTCTTGAAGGAGGCAAGGGAGGGGGCGAGGTGGAGGGACTGCAGGATGGACTTCCAGAGGGTTGTGGCAGAGTGACAGAAGGCTCACCCACCAATGATGGGCAAGCAATAATAATAATATAATAATAATCCTTGCATTTGATATAGAGCTTTTCACGTCCTCTAGACGTCCCAAAGTGCTTCACAGAATATACTGGAAAGTGAATTGACTGTATATTTGTGGGCGAACGCGGCAGCCAATTGCGCACAGCAATGTGCCACAAGCAGTCGTAGATTGAAAATGACCAATTTTATTATTGTTTTGTTTTGGAGGGATTATTATTAGGTGTGTGGAGTAAGGAAACTTGCCCAAGGTTTGTCCTGCCTGGAATTGAACTCAGTTCTCTCGCTTGCAAAGCGAGTGCTCTAACCACTGAGCTACAGGACTCCACAACCACTGAGCTACAGGACTCCAAGGACGCAAGGCGGAGGACATGAAGCATGCCAGAGCCTGCTGAGCAGATGGAATGGGCAGGTTGGTAGCTGGTTAGAAGGTCACAGAGGTAGGGGGGAGCAAGGCCATGGAGGACTTTGAAGGTGAGGATCAGGATCTTGAACTGTATCCTCTGTGTGATGGGAAGCCAGTGGAATCGGGCGAGGATGGGGATGATAGGGTCACAGAGCCTGGTGCGGGAGAGGACATGGGCTGCAGAGTTCTGGATGATCTGCAGTCTATGGAGGGAGGAGTTGATGAAGGCGACAAGCAGTGAGTTTGCGCAGTCAAGCCTGGATGTTTCGAATGAGAGTATGAGGGTCTCGGTGGCCTGCGATGTGAGCCATGCAATGTTGCGGAGGTGGGGGACATGGCATGGATGTGGGGTAGAGAGGATAGTTGAGGGTCAAACAAGACCCCCAAGGTTCTGCACTGGCTTAGTAAGGTGGACTGTGCATCCTTAGAATGGTGATGCTGTCAGCGCCTGAGGTGAGGAGGCGCTGACGGGATCCAATCAGGAGATCCTCGGTCTTGTTGACGTTCCACTGTAGAAAGTTAGCTCTCATCCAGGACTTGATGTTTGACAGACATTCTGTCAGGACAGCAGTGGTCCTGGACTAACCAATTTAAGGCAAGGTTCATTGGTTAGGATAGTGGGAGAAGCTCTCTTTAAAACTAATTAGTTAAAAACATTTGGTTTTGGGCAGGTTAGACCAAAGTGTAACATAAGCTGGGCTGTGTATTACCGTGAAAGTGGACAGACAGATAAATCACTGAGATCTAGATTCATTGTGCCAGGGGAAGCCTTGTACCAGAGAGTGTGTTGGACAGTTTGTGAGACCGGAGTGTGAAGTCAGGACATAGCAACCATTGCAGCCCCTCACCCCTCCGTCTTACCTCTCCGACAGCAAACACACTGAACAAAGCTCTCTCAGTCCATGGTGTGAACGGCCCGAGTCAGACAGAAACAGTGTTAGAGAGACAGACTTCAGATACCCAGACCTCAGCTCCGCTGGCTCCCCTTTCATTTTCAGAAATAGTTGAAATTGCTAGCCCTGAAGCAGTGTGCCCCGCTTTGGCCTGAGACATTCCCTCAGTGAGCGCCACCATGTTACAAGGCTCTCACAAACGGCAGGCACCAGGGTGGTTATTACGCTGTGATTTATGCAAGAATCCGTGGCTTCTATCAGCTCCGTTGCTAGGTTCAAGGCCACTGTGTGTAACAGCCCAAACAGTGGGTCGAGAGACTTCAATGGCAAAACATTACAGGAGATTTAACAGGAATCAGACAGGATAATAATAAATAATCTTTGTATTTGATATAGCGCCTTATCACATCATCAAGACATCTCAAAGCGCTTCACTGAATATACTGTAAAGTGAATTGACTGTATACTTTGCGGGGAAGGGGAGGCTGGGGGATGAGGAGGTGAGGGATGGGGATAAGGGTATATGGGAACAGAAAAAAAGCCTGAAGGTTTCTCCACAGCTAGTTCCAAGGTTAAGGGCTGAGTATCCGAATCCTCTCGTCGCTGGAGCCTTCTTCTGTACCCGAATTGGAAGATCACATAACTCACCACATGAAAAGGCTGGAAGCTCTGTGCACACAGCACGTAACAGCTGTTTGCTCTCACAGAGCCACACGTATGTGGGGAGACTACATGTCTGCCTCAGTCCCAGTACAGCCTGGCCTGTCAGCTGCCGAAGGTTCAATCCGAGCGACAAGCCTCAGATGCAAAACCTGGTGGATCAACTGCTAATAACTCAGTCTTTTCTACTTCACCCCGAAGAGCAAAAGGGAAGGTCGCACACTGCGTCTGGGGTTGAGTTAGCAGCAGCTGGAGCAACAACTGGACTCAACACTCGGGAGTGGTGGGAGGGGGGGAATCAGTTATGCCTCCCACCTGATCGCTTCTAGGTGGGATCTGTGTGCAAGGTGTCAGGAGAAAACAAGATTGGGCTCTTCTGTGATGACACCACCACCCCCCACCCCACCAACCCAACCCTGGCCTCCACCTAGGAAACATTTTTCGCAATGATCACATTGATGGCCGGGGTGGTGGGGGGGAGGTAGGAGGCATTTCCTTGTATTTTGAGCTGACGCCGAGATGGCGTGCTTGGTAACGGGATGTCCAAATCAACTCTCTGTGGTGGTCTCGAGAGTCTGGTTGCTGAGTCAGGCGTGTCCACTGGACTCCAGGGCACCGAGCAGCCAGCTAGCCCGACTTGTCACCAGCACTTGGAAGGGACAGACCAGTAACTGGGAGCAGGGATTCTTCCCACTCACCTCCTGGTAACGCTGTAAGTCGAAGCCCTTTTATGGGTCAGGTGGACCTAGCTGGACAACGGGAAGCTTGCCAGTCAGTGCTCTCAATGGCAAGCTGTGCAATAAGGACTGGGTAAACTCCAGCACTTACCCCAACCCATACTGGAGTGTCAGCCAGGAATCAATGTTAGTAGTGATTCCCCTCCCTCCCTCCCTCCCAGCAGAATCAAAACAGGAGTGAAACCAGCTTCAAGAGAAGGAAGCTCTGAAAATATTTACTCAATGAAATCATACACTGAAACACGGTGGAGCCGATTCTATCAATGTGATCATTGGAAAAAATGTTTCCTAGAATTTTAAATATGTAGCTGTTTTTTTTAACCTGAAGATAGAAGCATAAAGTTGTGTAAATATATTTCATACATTATCAATGTTGCACTTGCACCCTGCCATTCAAGAAGTTTGTAATTCTGCATGAATAAACTGGGAAACAAAAAAAATCAGCAGTGTTCAGTTGATTTGTTGATTGTTTAAGGAGACTTGGTAGGCTGGAAAGTGTTACAGGACAGTACACACACACACACACACTCATGCACAATCTCTCGCTGTCTCTGTCTCGTGAGTGGGCTATGAGACAAAAATCTCAATGCATGAGGGATACACACACACAATCGACGTGTTAACTGCTTAGATATTCATTTTTAATGTAGATTTAAGTGCCTCGATTGCTCCTGTGAACCACGCATGAAAAAATAATTTCTCTCTCTTTGTCCAAGGTGTGCAGGATTCTCTCCTCCATAACTGGCAACGCAACGGACGAGTCACAGAACACAATCGAACGCGGGAAGCAAAAGTCGGGCCTTTGTAATAATAATAATCCTGGCATTTGATCTAACACCTTATCACTTCGTTGCGACGTCTCAAAGCGCTTCACGGAATACATTGTACAGTATATATTGGACTGTATACTTTGTGGGAGAAGCGTGCCAGCCAATTGCGCACAGAAGTGACCCATAAACAGTTGTGGATTGAATGACCAAATTATTACATTTTTGGAGGGATTATTAGCCCTGGAAAGCGATCCACCAATTGACTAACAACCGAGTTCCTACTTACTGCTGGATAAACAGAGGTGTGTGGAGTAAGGAAACTTCCCTAAGGCTACGCACTGCCCGGGAATCGAACCTAGGTCCTCTCATGTGTGAGGCAAGGGAGCTAACCAGTCATATACACACACACACACACACACCACCACCACTGAAGGAGAGAACGCCCAGAAAACCGCGCTGTGAAAACAGAGGCCCAAGATGACTGTCAACTTTCCTGCTTTTCGGATCATTTATTAATGCAAAATAATTTGTACTTGAAAACGCTTTAAATTAGAACGAAAAAAAATAAAGGAAAGGAGAAAGGCGGGAGGGGAGAAATAAGTGAAACCAGAAAACATGTTTGAGAATATTTCCTCGCAAATGTTTTCCGAACAGCTTGTTAAGGGGCCATAGACTTCCAGTAGAAATAAAATCAATAAGAGCCTGTCACGTCATACCTGCAGTCTGCTAAATGCAAATAAAAAATATACGAGTTGTCCATGGAATAATAAAACATTAAAAAAAGAAGAGTACAACAGTATAAGCAAGCTTAATATACACCTAATGATGCAAGAAGAAACTCTTAAGCGTTCGTTAGTCTTAAGACTTCTCCCTCCCAGTGGAACTGCGTCGTTCAAAACACTGTGCAACATTGCTCCACAATCCAGCGGAAAATACGCGTTGGGAAAAGGCCATTCAGTTTCTCAGACAGTCCGCTAGCGCTCTCCTTCCTTTATCCCGTCCATCGAGAGTTGGACAAACAGCCCTGGTAATAACAGCACCATGTTAAAGTTCTTCATTAGGATCCTCCATTTGAAAATTGTGTCCTTTCAGCAGCATTTTAGGACGTTATTCCCATCCATCCGAGTTGCCTTTTCACGAAAGAAATGACGCCTCACAGCCCAGAGAAGTCCTGTCCACCTCTTTCCTCCTCATTGCCTTGGAGCAAGTCAGTTTTGTCCATTATTTTTTACCCCCCGTTTCGCCGGGAAACAGTTTTTTGTTTAACATATCGAGAGCAGGAAAACAGTCAAAAAGCACCTTTGGCATAACAGGTGTCGGCATGTAACAAAAGAGGTGACCAGGGCCCTCCCTCCCACATGACATGTCCTTGGATAGCTTATTTTCACCTCACATCTGTAAGAGAAGAAAAGCACAGTGAAGGTTTAACCCGACCTTAATCGTTGCTTCCACTGAACTCCCACCCCAGCCAGATATTTTGGGAGGAAGCTCCACACCTCAGCATCTCACGGCAGCTTAACCCAGCGCCTGCTGTGCCGAGCAGGGTAGCACGGCACGTGCCACTGGATTCTGAGCAAAATCACTCACGCTGAAAAGCAAGTCTGTGCTGCAAGGATTGGCAGCTCCAATAATACAGTTGTTTTGAAGAGGCAAATGTGGCAGCTAATTTGCATCGGCAACATCCTACACGCAAGGAGATGAGTCTTTGAGGGAGGATGATAACTCCCCCTCAAAGATTGAAATACTTTGGTGAAACAGGGGAAGAAGGGCGAGGGAGGGCAGGAGAAGGAGGGAGGGCAGAAGGGTGAGGGAGGGCAAGAGGGGGAGGGAGGGCAGAAGGGCGAGGGAGGGCAGGAGGGGGAGGGAGGCAAGAAGGGAGGGAGGGTCCTTTAATGTCCACCTGAATCACAAGACAGACAAAACTTTGCTTTAGTGATCCTCTCGAAAAGGAATGATTTTGGAAACAAATAATAATAATAGTTGCATTTAGGTAATGCCAGAATATCACACTGCAACATCGGAAGCTCTTAACAAGAAGTGCAGTGAGTGTTGATTCCCAATCTAAATGGTTCAGCAAACCAGAGTGTGCATTCATCAGGCTTGGAACAAATCAACTGTCCAAAGTTAAAGTTAGAGCTCAGTGCTCTATTCGTTCATCCTGCATTCACCGTTTACCGTTTAGACTCAACACCGATTCAAACGCACTTTCAGCCTCGTCACCCATTATCATTCATCTCAATGCCCACAGCAAAGTGCAAGTCAACCTATCGGGTAAGCAGAAGCAACAAGCAGGCTGAGACTGTGATGGAAACTAGCATCGGGCAACTCAAATTCAAGGTAAGGAGTGAAAGGAGCAAATTCACAACAGGAGGGTGGGTGTCCTTCAGTAAGACACAAGAGCAGTGAAGGTGTGCAATGCCCAGGATGTGAGGGAGAGGCTGGAGCAAAGTATCTGCCAAAAGCATAACCAGTACAGGCAAATCGATGGTGATGTCTCCCATTTACCCCTCCCCCTTTATCCCCCCCCACCCCACCCCAACCTCCAGGTACTGTACACTAACATGGTGAATGTGATTCCAGTGAGATCTATTGGTTTCCTGTGCTCTGCCAGTCAATGTGACACCCAGCACAGTGAGTCCTACCTGCAAATGTCCGAGAGCCTTTATGTTGGCAAAACATCCTTGCCAGGTGCCAGCATTAACTTTTTGCTCTTCCGTATTTTAATTTTTTCACTATTTCTTCTTTTAACCAGCTGAGGGCTGGTGAAAGGCCCTAAGAAAATGCATTGGGGTTGGAATTTATACAGAAATCAATACACACTGGAGTCTATATATTTTTTTTCTCTCTGTTTCTTCTCTCTCTCTCTCGCTCGCTCCAGATAGAGAGGTTCATGATCTTTCTAAATCGGCAAGTGTTGCATTTCACTGATCCCTTGCAAGTATATGGAGTAGATCTCATCTCGTCAAATTGCAAATTTGTTTAGTAATTATAATAATAATCCTTGCATTTTATATGATGCCTTTCACGTCAGGAGGGCGTCTCAACGCGCTTCACAGGATATACCTGCAAAGTGTAGTGACTGTGTATTTTGTAGGCGAATCGCACCAGCCAATTTGCGCACTCACTGTGTGCTCACAGTTGGAATGTGTTTAACATAGATACTGCCAGCTGGTTTGGACCTGGACAGTCTCTCGCTTTCTTTCTCTTGTTGGGTTGGTTGTCATCCCGCCATACCCACACACAAACTCCACACGCATGTGCACACAGACACAATTATTTCAGTGCTTTTAGGTTTTCAAATCATTTTGATCAAGAGAAAGTGAACATTCTTTAAGCTGTGAATTCTCACTCGCCCCTCTCACTCCCCCGCCCCCACTCACCTCTACTTCCACATCCTCCCATCTTTCCCCTTCCGCTTCGCCCCTCACGTCATCTCATCTCTCCCCAAAGCTCCCTCCCATCATTCCCAATGACCCCTCCCATCTCTCCCCATGATCCCTCCCAGCATTCCCAATGATCCCTCCCATCTCTCCCCATGATCCCTCCCATCATTCCCAATGATCTCTCCCATCTCTCCCCCCGTCTTCCCCCATGATCCCTTCCATCTCCCCCCCATGACCTCTCCCATCTGCCCCCGAAGCCCCCTCCCCTCTCCCCTCCAACACATCTTGCTCTTAACCCCACAAAGAAAAACAATTCTAACACTGAACAGTAAAAGAAGGTATTGAACCATGACATACCTTCCCCCTCTCTGTACTCTGAGTTAGACTGTAGTAATGTGCACGCACATTCCAGGTGCTCCTCTAGTCCCACTATAACCTCCTTTAACCGCGGTTTGCGTCTTATATACTCCACTTTTGCCACCTGAGTGTTAGCAGAAAGAAGGTTAATCAGATTTATGCAGATCCTGATGGCATAGTATCTGTAGGAAGAAATTCAGGTCATTTCAGGTCACAACATTAATTATTGGGTCGAATTTGCAAATTGGATTAACCGTGTGCAAAAGCATAGGAATGCCCTTAATGCTGGGACCAACAGAATAGCCGGTTAATTATATGAAGAGTTCTTGCAATTTACTCTTTACACACCTGTTTACACGTGGTTAACCCAATCATGCACATGGGTTGTTAGCCCAGCACACAAAGTAGACATATCTGTCATCGAATTAGGCATTTCTAAGACAATTCAGCAAAACACTGTATATAAGACATCCGCACACAAAACATAAAAAATCACCCATACACACTCATACATAAATATTCATACACATACACACATATTATACACATAGGTACACAAACATATACACATATACAATGCATTAATACACACATATATACATACACATGCATGTACATATATACACATACATAGATTTTTAAAGAAGTCTTGAAATGCGTTCATTAATAGGGAGAAATGTGAAACAGGATCTGTTTTAAAGTCAAGCAGCGCCAACTCAGTGAGCACATTAAGGCCATTAAGTATTACAGGCACCAAAATGTTTATATTATGGACAAAATGGCTGGAGATTTCTCTTAACAAGCTTGTGCTGAAAGGCTACAATAATCAGCTGCTGCCAGGTTTTCTACAAAATCAATGGACAAAGCAAGAAGCACAGAAGAGACATGGCCTGATCCATCCAATGAAAAGAAACAGACACTATCAGGTCACCTTTGACTTCTGAATTGCAGACTTTGAGATCTGAACACGGACTAGCTGAGACGAATGGCCTGTTTCTGTGGCGTATCGCTCTACATAACAATGTCTAATGGATCCCAAGCTGCAAACAACTCCTCTGAGCTCCTCCCAACACTACACCGCATGCAGGGAAAGTGGTTCACGCGTGGAGTTCCCCCAGGGGCCGGCTTGATGTACAGCGTGATGTACACCGGCTGCTGGAGGGAGTCGGCATTTGCGACTCACAGTTGCCACTTCTCTCATCTCTATAGAAATCAGCATATTTTAGACCCCGCGACAAACAGGACAACAGAAACAGCTGATCCAAAGAGCACAAGAAAGAATGAAATCCAACATAAAAGGCGCCCTTCGTCACTATCGGGGCAACCAGCCAACCAACTTCACAGAAGTCTGCAGACTTGGTTATTTGCTGAGCTGAGCACCAGGGTACAAACTGCAGGAGGAGACAGAGTGGATGGATGTCTTGACGTTGTTTGGGAGCAGATTTCTACCCTGGAAAAGCCGCCATCACCACTCAGTCTGCTCACCACTCAGTCTGTCAACAAGGAGCAAGAGACAAGATTCATCTGCCTTGCAAATGTTACTTTAACATGCCCGGAAGGTCTGAAAGTGACCCATTAGCACAGAGAGGTTGAAGGACAGAAGCAAGCTGCCCTGCATAATGCCCTTGCTCACGAGTCGCCTGCTATTAACATATTCATTTGTCTGCCCCACAAAACCAAAACAACAGGCGGGCTGCACACCTAGTTAAAACTTTGGCTAAAACCATCCTGTAAACCCAGGGGTGGGCCACGGGGGAAGGAAAGAAAAGAACTTGATAAGGACAAAGGCCTTTAATTATAGGAAGACAAAAGAGTTCGGGAGAATTTAGCTGGAGGAGAAATGGGGTTCCACATCGTCATCAAGAGAAATAGAAATAGAGAGAGAGAGAGGAGGGAGGGAGAGAGAGAGACACAGAGAAGGAGGGAGAGAGAGAGAGAGAGGCATATATATACACACACACACACACACACACACACACACACAAGGAAGGAGAAAACGAGCGAGCATACGAATAAACGAATGAGTGAATCGGGCAAGACAGGAGAGGAATGAGTCAACAAATTGACTTCACTGCAATTTTTCCTTATTCCTATCTGACACCCAGGGGCTTGGATAGAGATCATGAGAGGGAACTGTGGCCAGTGAGGGAACTCTCGCCCAATGAGGCCATTTCTAACACTTCTGCCGTTGCCTCTGCTTTTATCAGGTATCTCAACCAACCTACACGTGGAAATCCCAGAGACAGAATGTTGGAATGGAATTCACACACTATCTCGCTGGAGGGATGCATACTGCTTACCTAATTCCGGAAAGTATTAGGACCAGAGTGTGAGTTGGGGTAACTGTTGGCGTCTCACCTGCTTAAACCTCTCCTGTCTTGCCCAATAAATTGTGCTGTCATCAGTAGTGCCCTGAAATACTGCGGACCCGACTGCCTGGTTCAGTAACTGGATAGAAGGAAACCTATCACAATGCTTAAGAGTATCCAAACCAGACTAAAAGTTCCACTTGGGTTTATGAAATGTACATTCTCTCCCCGGAGTGTGCACCCTGCTTACCTAATTATGGAGAGCATTAGGTTGGCAAGAGCCAAGGCTTGGGGATCCCAGAGTGTGCTGGAATTTACTAAGCTGAAACTGTAGAGCTTGCTATTGAGAGCTCCGGCTGGCAAGCTTTCCCGCTGCCTTGTCTACTCTACCCATCAGAGCTTTGGTTGCAGGGTTAACAAGAGCCGAGTGGGGAATGTTCAATAATCTAAACCTTCCTCATACTGCCTCTCCAGGATTACTGATTAGGCTCTTTGATTGCAAGCTTTGAGAAACAAAAACATCTAGTGACATATTAAACGACAATCATAACACGGAGGTGCCTTGTGTCCCGATTACCTCACATTTACTTTACACCCTGAGTGTTTACAGTGGCAGATAACCGAGTGGCTCCAACTTCTTGTCTGACCTGCAGCCTCTTCCTGTGACATGTTAACTGTAAGCAGGTTCTTGCATTTAGGGATGATTGTTTGAGAAATGTTGGTGGGCACGGAAGAGTGGAGGGGTTGGGGCAAATGCTACTAATACCAAGTGTTTATCTTGAAATAGCAAAACTAGGAACTCGGTAACAGAAGCAGACGATTCATCCTTTCGAGACATTTTATTACGACATGGTTAATCCTTTAATTGCATTTCCCCACCTTTTCCATATTTTCCTTTTGGTCCGCTGGGTGTCTGACTCGAGGAAACACCATCACCACTCTTAAGAGTCTCCAAACCAATCTGCTCCAGATATGCAGTTTCTGTCTCGTGTGGAGCGCGCACTCTCTCCCCAAAACGTTGCACCCTGCTTACATTATCCCTTGGAGTTTAGTTGAGGGTTGAAAGAGTCAAGGCTAAGCGCTTCAGAGCACAAATTGGGGCATTGATGGGAGTTTAGCAAATGACAGCTGTGTATGTCACCATTGCAGACAATCTGCAAGCTTCTTGTACAAGGACTGCCCTACCTCTTAGAGCTCTGCTATGCAGGGTTAACAGGGGATGAGTGGGAATGAATGACATCAGTCCCCACCGACTAGTCTGTCTAGGATCAGCACAGACCAGGGACTGAACCTGCTCAGTACGGCTCAGTAACACGCACCGGGAGTAACTTTAACAACTGAGCCGTCTGAAAATATACTTCATGCAAGTAAAGAGGCAAAGTTACACGTCTCCTAATCACATTTGTTACGGGTTTGACACAGTCGCCCAGCACCGCGGTCTGACAGCGTGGATAATCTCAAAGGTTTAAGGGCACGTTACATGACAGGGAATTTATTAATAAAAAAAACAAATAGCGAGGAATGCACCACTTTAATAAAACAAAGGGTTTGCACAAACGGAACCAACTTTCAAAGCGCTTCTCCAATCGCCCAGCTTCAAAGTGCTTGTGTCTTGTTTATAATGGATTTGATTTGGCGTGCAAAATGATGGCGGTAAATCAGGCAGGAGACTTGCCAATTCAAAGAGGAGACTAGACAGATAGACCACCCAGACATCTGTCCAATCAGTATAGAGCCAGACAGAATGCAATCCCACCCGGCCTTCGATCAGAACTGATCCCTCGAGAGATCATCTTGATCCTTCATCAACAGCAAAAAATTACTTTTAGATAGCACCTTTCATGTCGAAAGGTTGTCGTTCCAACGTGAAAGGCTACGTATCACACCTTCGTCAACGTTTAAGGAACCGATGACTTGACAACTGGTGGCATTTCCATTTGTGTAATGGACACAAGTAAGAGGAAACTTGCTTACGCAAGGGCTCCCCTCAGTATCTCTGAGCTGGGAATGTATGTGTGAGTGGAGTGGTGTTGGGGGGGTGGTGGGGGGAGAGGTGGGTGATGGAATTTTGCGACATTTTTTAATGGATTTGATTGTTGTGATTATTCTTGTCGTCCACCAACTCCAGCCTCTGGAAGTGACACTGAATCTCTTCTCGGAGTGCAAAGCTGGACACTACAAAAACCAAATAGCTTCTGGTGAAACATAAGCCACCAGGCAAGACAGCCAGCACAGCAATCATACATTGCCCATCACTGATCCAAATCAATCCCACTCCCCCGCTCTCACCTCATAGCCCTGCAAACTTGTCCTCCCCAAATAAGTATTTACTTCTCTCTTAAAAATTGTTATCGAATCGGCTTCCACCACCCTTTCAGATCTGAACAACTCGCTGTGTGAAAAAATTTCTCCTCATTTCCCCTCTGTTTCTTTTAACAACTATTTGAAATCGGTGTCCTCGGGTTACCAACCCACCCGCCAGTGGAAATAGTTTCTCCTTGTTCACCCTATTGAATCCCCTCAAAATTTTGAAAACTTCTATAAGTCTCCTCTTAATCTTCTCTGCTCCAAGGAGAATAATCCTGGCTTCTCTCACCTCTCCTGATAGCTGAAGTCCCTCATTCCTGGTACCATCCTGGTAAATCTCCTTTGCATCCTCTTCAATGCCTTGACATCCTTCCTAAAGTGTGGTGCTCAGAACTGAACACAGTCTCTCGCTGAAGCCTAACCAGTGTTTTATAAAGGTTCATCATAACTTCCTGACTTTTGTATTCTATGTCCCTATTTATAAAGTCTAGTATCCCGTATGCTTTTT